GTACATGTTGTCCTTTTTGCTTCAATCTGAGCGAATGAGAGAAGGAATGGAAAAAGGAGTAGCCACTAAGAATGGCATAGATAAAACTGTGAATGTGATGGCCCTGTTTTCCTATTTACTTTGTGTTATTATAGAAGTTTATTAGCTACTATTTGAAATTTATGGAATATTTATATTGAAATCATCAAAGTTTTTCAGTTTAAACACTTTCAGGGATTGACCAACACCTAGAGTTTGTATTTCAGTTAATTTCACTCTTCAAGTGTAAATTAAATTCAAATAATCTCAGATAAATTGGTATTATCTTTGCTGGAATTGCCAAAGGAACTTTACTGAAGCAAAACATTGAAAATGTTTGGTTTTTGCGAAGAAGTCTGATGCTTGAACTTCATGGCTGTGAGTGTGAAAAATTTTAAACACAGATAAGTATTTGTAGTAGTGTTTAAAGATGACCTCTAAGAATTTTTTGGCTCTTCATGTTACTGCAAATGACCCAGGTGACTCCGCCAGGTGTTACGTTTGCCCATTCTTGGGTGTTGGGAAGTGAGACAGATGTTTAAGCTCTGGAGCTGGAGTTGACATAGGGTAGCTATGACTCTTCTCTGGTCTGTGGAGGTTGCCATCTTTATTGAGGGCGATGATTAGATCACCCTAACCCTTGAGCCTTAGGGTCTATGCATGAGGTTGGTGAGCTTCACAGAGGGAGGATGCAGCAAAAGGAGGAAGGAGCAAAAGTACTGGTATTACCTTCTAGAAGAGATGTAAATGTGGGAGGGACAGGAGGAGCTGGGAACTCTCCCATTTCCAGAAACTCTTAAGGGAGGAGAAAGACCAGGTGTCCATCTGAGAAACCATTTTCATATATTTCAAAATCTTGGTCTCTTGAGCAAGTTTAGGTCTGTTGATTGCTGAGCTTCTGTTCTTGCTAAGTTTTCTTTCCAATTAATGTAGGGGCACAAATTTAAATAGCATTACCCACGTCCAGCCTGAAATTCCATAGTCCAGATTTATTTGAGTTACAACACCTCTAGAGAGATTCCCTAACCACCCTTATCACCCTCATCTGGACGTCCTCTAGCTTCTTACAGTATTTTTTTCTCGGAGCACCACAGTACTGTCATTGTATTATGTGTTTCTTTGTCGTCTATCTCCTTCACTAGAGTGTAAGCTCTGTGAGGGCAGGGGTGCAGTTTTTATTTTTTTTGAGGAAGATTAGCCCTGAGCTGGCATCTGCCACCAATCCTCCTCTTTTTGCTGAGGAAGACTGGCCCTGAGCTAACATCTTTGCCCATCTTCCTCTGCTTTATATGTGGGACGCCTACCACAGCATGGCTTGCCAAGTGGTGCCATGTCTGCACCCAGGATCCGAACCAGCGAACCCCAGGCCACTGAAGGGGAACGTGCGCACCTAACCGCTGCGCCACCGGGCCAGCCTCAGGGGTGCAGTTTTGTTTACTGCTGTAACTCCAGAGTGGGGAACCATGCCTAGCCACAGCGTAGATACTGGTAGTAGTTTCCTAGGGTTGCCGTAACAAATTACCACAAACAGAGGGGCTTGAAACAGATGAAATTTATTCTCTCACAGTTCAAGAGGCCAGAAGTCCAAAATCAAAGTGTCAGCAGAATTGGTTCCTTCTGGAAACTCTGAAGGAGAAACTGTTCCAGGCTTCTCTGCTGCTTCTGGTCATGGGTGTCAGTCCTTGGTGTTTCTTGGCTTATAGACACATAACTCTAATCTCACCTCCATTTTCACAAGACCTTCTTCTCCACGTCTCTGTCCTTTTCTGTCTCATACAAGGACACTCTGTATTTAGGGCCCACCCTTTTGAGTATAATCTCATTTTAAATAATTACATCTGCAAAGACCCTATTTCTAAATAAGGAAGATTGCATTCTTAGGTTCGGGGTGGACATTAATTTTGGGGAGGGACACTATTCAACCCACTACAGTGTTCAATAAATATTTGATGGACAAATGAATTCACAGTGTCATTCTGGGCCGTAGACTCCTTGGGCATTTTTCTTACTGTCTTAATAATTGTGCTATGGAAGGTGGGGGTTAAGAGTTCAGTCTAGTTCCAGATTGCTCGGGCTCCAGTTCCGGTTCTGCCACTTCCTAGTTTTGAGATCTTGGACTAATAATTATGTAACTTCTGTCAGTCTCAGTTTCCTCCTCTTCTGTAAAATTGTAACAAGGAGAAATGATAGTAAGTACCAAATAGATGTTAGCTATTATTATGTGTCTGCAACTGTAAAGCACTCTACATATTTATTTAATCCCCATAACAGCCCATGAGGTGGTTCTGTTACTATTCTTATTTTGCAACAAAGGAAACTGGGTTTGTATCAAGACTTAAAACTGAGAAAATATACTTGTCACTTTGTCAGGTGCCTGGCACACAGTGCTTGGAAATTCTTAGCTAAAGTAATATAGATAAATGTGACAATCTCATAACTTTAAGACTTCTTACAAATTGATTCACAAATCAGAAAAAAAATTGTGAACTGAGGCACCTCAGGTTTTGCTCATTTGCATTGAGGGGTCACTGTCCCTGGGAAGACTAGGCAGGATGCTGGCCAAAGGTAGGGGCATTTGGGCAACCAAATTGCTGTGGGGCAGAAACTAGCACTAGGTGTGAGGGTGCTAGAAATAAAATTTATTTGAAACTTTCTTTTTCTTTTTTGTCTTTGCTAAGGAAGATTTGCCCTGAACTAACATCCACTGCCAATCTTCCTCTTTTTGTATGTGAGCTACCACCACAGCATGGCCCTATCAGATCAGTGGTGTATGTCTGTGCCTGGGAGCGGAACTCAGGCCACCAAAGCAGAGCGTGCTGAACTTAACCACTGGGCCACTGGGGCTGCCCCTCTTTGAAACTTTTTATGGGCCAGTTCTTTTTACCTTCTTCTCAATGACTCCTCTGCTGTATTAGAGTAAGAGATTGATGTCCAGAAATGTTATATACAGCAAACAGAATGTCTGCACAGGCTACTTTGATCATATATAGAATGTTTCAATACATTACTGCCGATGTGGGTATGTTGTTTTCCCCTTTTAATTCAAATAAACTCTCCCCTGCAACAGGTAAATGTCTAGTTTGCCTGTTTTTTGCTCTATTCTTTAATTTTTTTTATTTTATAAAGGTTTTGCATCTTTAGATCTCAGCTAAAAATATCACTTTCTAATTCCCTAAAACTAGTCCCACATTATTTTCAAGTGTTTTTCCATAGTTTACATATTTGTATGTTTAACATATTTATTCCACTAGACTGAAAATTCTGTGAGGGCAGGAACTCTATTTTGTTCACCTGGCAGCTAGCAAGTCCTAAATGAGTATTATTTGATTGAATGGCTAAATAGATAAGCCATGGGGTGGCAGATCTGTTTTAGCCACTGCTTGCCTGTTACCATCCTGGGATGCTGGCTGCTTCTCTAAGCTCTTTCTTGTTCTCAAATTGCCTTATTTGTAGTACTAAGCACTAAATTGGTCTGTAATATGATCTGTGACCAAAGTTTGATCTGTAAAATCACCCTTTGCAGAGATATATTCACTACTTTTCAGTTAATTTTTTCATAGATCTCTTTAATGTTTGTTTTTTTCTTTTAAATCATCTAAATAGTTGGATATATGCTTGAAATGCTAGACAATAAAAATTTCAAAAGTCTAGAAATATTTCTTTTGTAGAATGAAAGTATTTTAAAAACTAGATGGTTGTCACTTTAAAACAAGTTGAAAAGCAAATGTGTCAACCTTTTCTAACGGAATAATTCCAATAGGTCAGAGATTACTGTGAGCTCTCTGCATATTTAAATTAGTTCAAATATGTTATGAGACTTCTAACATTTTTATGATTTCTCACATTATAAAAGTTTGTTACAAAGCATATAAAAATAGCTGTTTACCCTCATGCAAAGAATACCTCAAGTATCCACTCTGATGCCATTGGTAACTAGACTGGTTGGGTTTTCTTGCTAAAAGGGTTTAAGGAATGCTTATGTTACACCATCAGTGCAATCAGCTTTAGTTTTCAGAAGAACACAATGTAGTAGTGGAAGAGAAAGGGAGACATCCACCCTGGCTCTCTCAAAGTCACATTTAGCTACTTTAATGTCATAGTTCCTGCAGCACCTCCACCAGAGGGCACAAAGTGAAAGAGAACGGGGGTGAAGTGGAAAGTCATACCTGGCTTCAGAATGCCTGTAGAAACCTTGAGGATTGAATCCAACCCTTATTTAATAAACCGAGTTAACTGTGGCCCAGGAAGACTGCGTGATTTGCTCAGTAGAGCTGACTGTTCGCGCCTAGGCTCTTGATTCGCAGGCTGGGTCCCTGCGCTGCTGACGTGGAATGAGGCAGTATCTTAGCAAGAAGAACGGAGTCCTGAAATTACACTGCCTCCGGAGAATCCCAGCTCAGCACTTGCTGGCTGTGTCAACTCAGGCTGGTTACTTCGACTTGATAAATCTTTCTCATTTCTAAAACAATAGTAGTACCTACCCCATAAAGTGGTTGCTGGAACTGAGAGAATGCATGTGAAGTGTTTTGTACAAAGCCTGCCACATGCTAACACCTTAATTTTTGTGAATTGTGATAAACTTGTCAGATACGGGATTCTAAGTCTGACACTTGGAACACTGATGGAATCAACGTTTCCACTACTGTACTATATACATAAAATATTTTCTAGTTTCTCATTTCGTTGCAGAAACAACAAAAGAGAGATCCTCCCCCCCCCCCCCCCCCCCTTTTTACAAATTACGTTTTCCCCTCAGCTATAATGTTCAAGGAACAGGTGCCTGATACAATTTTGTTGACCATGCATGGCCTCCTCCAGAATGTTGGAGAGAGATTTATTCAAAAGCCTCATGAGTAATTTTTGAAATTTCCATTAGATCTTGACTGAAGTTGGATGAAAAAAAATTTCTGAGAAAAGCGCAGTGTAGTCCTTTTTTTTTTTTTCTTTTTCTGCCAAACATTTCACGACTGTCCTGGGTTTCAAAGGGTAAGGTAGTTTGGACCTTTATAAATACCTGTAGTGCCCTCCTTGACGCTGCCGAGAAAGAGCGGCTGCTAGCGAAGGACGGAAGGGCACAGGGTTGCCGGGCCCTGCGGTCCAGCCCGAGGATGCCCTCCGCGGGCAACCGCGGGCTGCGTTTATGGATTCAGGCTGGAAACTCCCGCGTCCCTGCAGCTGCAGCAAACTCTCAGGCAGTCTGGCAAAAGCAGTTCCCTCACTAAACATATAACAGAAAACAAGTTTCCATTTGCCTAATGCAAATAATGCTCGCCCTCGAAACATTACGTCTTTCTGAGATAATAAATTTGACCTTTCGTTGCCAGTGCCTGCAGTTATTTTGATTTTTCCTTGGCTATGCTCTGGCTATACGAAAATGGTCTAAGGTTTGATAAGGAGATTTCGGAGTGCCCAGAAGTGACTCCTTTGCTCCCGAATACTCTCCCACCGCGCAGATTTTCGGGGCTCCTTCTCGTCGCGCTGCCGTCGCGGGGTGTAAGTTTGAGATGGGGGAACCAGCAGTCAGTGGCTTGCCGTCCGCCCCTGAAGAGTAACCTCTTGGAATGCAAAGAGGTGGGGCTCCGGAGGACCTGTCATTAAAGGTTCGTATGGGTGGGACCGAGAGACGGGAGTGAGGGGAGGGAGTGGTCCGCGGGTGGGATCTGTCGAGCAGACAAAATGTGGGGCCCCTGTCCTTGAGGGTCAACTCGCCTCTTCCTGAGTGAGCAGCAAGGCATCCGTGGTGACCCTCCCAGGGGCGCGCGGAGGAGAGAAAAGCGACCAAGATAAGAGTGGACAGGAAAAAAGCGAGACATGTTCTCCTCGAAACAGTCCCCTGCCCTCGCTCGGGAAGAGCGCTACCGCACAGCCGGGGCCCCGGAGCGGGTAAGATCCACGAATCGCGCTCTGCCGGCAAACAGGTCGAATGACCTCTCGGTCGGGATGAATTCAGGGTCAACCCTTCCTGCCCCCGCCCCCTCTTCCCCTCGGGAGCCACCTTTTTTCCCTGCCGTCGGTGAGCGTCGACTTCCCCAGCCCCGCGCTCAGCCCCCTGCGGCCAGTCCCCCAGCGCACGAGTCGCCCAAGGTCCGGGACCCTCCCAGGGTCATGGGGAGGATTTCCTTTGGCGTTCGAGTCGGGTCGGTCCGGAGACCCCGCTCTCCTTGCCGGGGACGATGCCACGTCTCCTGCAGAGTCCCTCCTCCGCTCGGCGCCCTCTACGCATCAAGTGGACTCGGCGGCGCGAGGGCGCCTGGGGAGGCTGCAGAAGGAGCTGTCGGCACCAGCCCCTCTGGGACCCACGGCTTCCTGTCTGCGTCAGCCTCGCCGACGCCCGGCATCTGGAAGGACTGCGCAGCAGCCTTGCCTGCCCCAGACGTAAGCCTCCTTTCCCAAAGGCGCTCGCCTTGGTCTCCGTCCGGCTTAAACCCAGGACTCACGCTCGCTTCCCCTGCGGTCGGCTGGTGCCCGGAGATCTTTGGACCATTCTGAGAGTTCGCATCTCAGAACCGGCCCACTTGTATGGTGCTGGGAACTCCTGCGTCCCCTGCGCGCAAACTTTGTCTCCGGCGCATTCCCTCCTGGGCACATCAGACGCCGGGGACCGGCCGCCGGGGGGCGCAGGTTCTGAGCTGCTCCGGATTTGGCGGGCTCCGATCCTGTCCTTGGAAGGGACAGCGTTGCCCTTCGCTGGGGAGAGGAAAGCTAGGGAAGAGCACCACGGACAGTCCTCCCCGGCCTGAGTCCCCAGGAACCAGGTCTAATTTGCGGCTGCCGTTCTCTCTCGGTGTCAGGAGCTTTCCGGAATCCACTGTGGCGGGCCCGGCTGCGCGCAGTGGGGGACCAGTGACCGCTCTTTGCGGGCAGGGACGGAGGGCTGCACGGGTTGGAGGAAGGTGGTGTTGTGTCAAATCTTGCTGGGTCTCTTCCCCAGCTCCGGTGGCGGGCGCCTCACTCCGGGTGCCACCTGCTCGGGGTCGGTGGATGGCGATGTAGGCGCTTTTTGCACAGCTCGTCATTCCCGGGACCGAACCCTGGTCGTTCCGAGCTGCGAGCTCGTCAGGGAAGCGGCCGGGCTGGGCATTCCCAGGGAAGCTGTCCCAGCAGTTCATAAAGGAGGGCTTTCCTCCTGTGAGAAACTTCTGAGAACAATGCACTATAAGGACTACGGCGACTTCTATATGCACATATGTAATTTGCATTTTTTTTTTTTTGGTAAGGATATTAACTGACGGAAGTAAAACTGTGCAAAGGAATATCCGACTGCTACCCGAAAGGGAGATAAGTCAGGACTTACTGATCATTATCCAAACACACACATTTTAGCTGAAACTGTTGAAATGAAAGATCCTTGAAAACATTAATTTTTGGCATAACTCGAAGACAATGAGAAGAAACAGTGCATTTTTTAAAAGTTATAAAACCAATTTTTGTCACTGTCACAACACAACATTCAACAGCTTGTTTGTATTATTTGGTCTCAATAGTTTTGTTGTGTGAAATTAGGCCAAGAATCAGTCCCCAAAGCCCGCTCCTGGGGATTGAGAGGTTAGACTAGATGTCTGTGTAGACATGTGGGAGTGCTGGCCTGGGCAGTCAGGGTTTCCACAGAATCCTTTCCAGGACACCAAGAGTTGCACTAGGATGAACTATTTTTAGAGTTATTTGGGTGTGGAATCACATAAACCTCAAAACCTCAAGATGCTGTAAAGCTTTATTTAGGGGAAAAGGGCTCTTCCCAGAAGGTTCCTTGCAGGATAGGATTACAATACAATGATGAAAGACTCGGTTAACCTTCCAGGAGGTTAAAGAGACAAATAAGAATTGCGTTATTGACCTCATCAAGTATATTTCCAGGCATAGTAAAGCTTTTTAAAAAGGTGCAAAATTACTCCCATCAGAAACCTTCCTCGTAATGCTGCAGAAATCTTAATAGCCATAGCACAGAAGGCAGTGGGGCTTCCACCACAGACCAGCTGTGGTTTTATTTTGATGGGGCCATGTTTCCCACCATAGCTTCATCTGGATTTCGGCACTTGCTGCTCTATTGCCCTTCTGCATTGCCCTCAGTTCCCCTTCTCCATTGTTGGGAGCAAAAGAGCGGTTGGGGAGAAGCTGCGCAGCCCAGTATCTCCAGAGAGTCAGCACCATCTCTCTCTGAAACCTGTATGTTCAAATCTCCATACTGTTAACAAGATACCCTGCTGATCGTTTTTTCTCTTTCCCTTACCTCTAGCCTCCCTTGATGACTTAAAGACCGTAGCCTTAGGGTTTCTGAGTGTCTCTACTGTTGGGGGAATGGGAGCACACTTGGACCAGGAAAGCTGTGAAATAGCTATGTTTCAGCTGTGAAACATTTGCTGAGTGTGTCCAAGGGAGACGGGTTTATTGACTGTGCCACTCTGGCCTTATTAAGTTAGTCAACAGGTATGCGTTCATGCATCCTGTTTGCTCCATCACCGTTCTTGGCATTCCACTTTGCCTGACCAAGTGGAAAATGGGGCTGGTTGGCTAAAGGATACTGACCTGTAGAATACTAGATCCACACTAAGCCCTCAAGTAACCCCCAGACTTACCTGTTCTGCAAAATCTACTCAGACACACACATGTACACACATACACACACCCCCCTTTCTGGGTTTTAGAGTCTTCAGCGTGGGTGGGAATGGAAGAAACTTCAAGTGAAAGGTGCCATGGATGGTGCCTTGCTGGGTAGAGTATGGATTTTGGTGTCAAAGCTAAATTCAAATCTCTGGCTCTACCCCTAAAAAGCAGCAAGGCCATGGGCAAGTCAACTAATCTTGTTGAACCTTGATTTCCCATCCAGCAAATGGAGATGATGCTACTGACCATCTGTAAGGGGCACTGTGAGGATTAAGGAAATAAATATGTCTCAGAAATACTATACAGAATAGTTGTACATTCTATGAAGTTTCCCTAACATGTGTTTACTTACAGAGCTGGCCCCATCTCAGACTCAATGAGTCTCTGAGGCCTTTCTCCACTGCCAGCCTTCTGTGATTCTGGAGCTGTGCTCTCCATTAGAGTAGCTGCTGGCCACCTGTGGTTATTTAGTTAATGTGGTTATTTAAATTAATCAAAATTAAATCAAATTAAGAATTCAGTTCTTCAGTTTCACTGGCCACATTTCAAGTGCTCAATAATCACATGCACCGTACTAGACAGTGTAGACAGAACATCTCCTTCATTGCAGAATGTTCTCTTAGACAGATCTAGAGCTTTCTTTTGCTTGAGTGATAATTTAGTGAGACTCTTGGATGATCAAAATTTTCCTGTCCAGCACCTTGCTTTGCTTCTGTTTCTCTCAAGGAGTGGTGTTGTATAGCTGAATCACTTCTGTTTGGTTGAGGTCTTTTACTCTGCCGGGCATTTGTGGAATGGCAAATGAGTGGATTCATTCATAAATCACCCAACAAGTGTGTATTAGTCACAAAGTCCTTGGGAATTCTCCCCTCAGCCTTGACGATTTTGGATAACGTTTTATTGTTTTCCCTTCACGTTGAGCTTTATGACTGATAGTTTTCCTGGTGTTAGAGCAGAAACTCTGATATGATAGAAACTGTGATATAATAACTCTGATATAATAATAGCTCTTCTCTCCCCATATACCTTTATGTGTTGTACCACTTTTCACAAGAATGACAAGACTAGAATACTGGGTTCAATGTTTGGATCAAAATCCACTGAGAGTGTTCAATTTATTCAGATTTGAAACTAATGCTCCACCTCACTCTGTAGGACCCCTTACTGAACTTCTCACCCTTTGACAGACTACATATTGTACTTTTTTTGATTATTTTCTGTCTCCTGTTACTCTAAGATATAAGATCCACAGAGACAGAGATTTTTCTATGTTTTTGCTCTTTGTCAGAATAGTGTCTGGGACATAGTGGGTGCTTACTATTTGTCAATAAAAGACTATACAGAGATATATTTGGAACTAGCTAAGATAGATAGATACTGTATTAGTGTCCTAGGGCCGTTGTAACAATTTACCACAAACTGGGTGGCTTAAAACAACTGAGATTTATTCACTCACAGTTCTGGTGGCTACAAGTCCAAAATCAAGATGTCGGCAGGGCCACGTCTCTAGGGAAGAATCCTTCCTTCCCCTCTTTCTAGCTTCTGGTGGTTGCCAGCAATCCTTGGCATTCCTTGGCTTATAGTTGCATCACTCCAATCTCTGCTTCCATAGTCACATGTCTATCTTCCCTGTTTCTTTGTGTCCTCTCTTCTTATTATAAGGATACCAGTCATATTGGATTTAGGGCTCACCCTAATCCAGTATGACCTCACCCTAACTAATTACAAAGGCTAAGACTCTATTTCCAAGTAAGGTCACATTCTGAGGTTCCACTGGATGTGAATTTGGTGGTGGTGGGGGAGGGGACACTATTCAAGCCAGAACAGATGCATAGATAAGTAATCCTTCCCCTGCCTTGATTCTTTACCCCCCTGGGAGTTTATTCTGTTTCTGGGACTTTGCTAAATCTGCTTTAGAGCAAGTATAGTCCATAATGTTTATTATTCTTACAGACAGACAATCACGGTGCGGTCTGGGAGATTATGTGTGCTTTCCATGTGGGTGTGGAGTATGTGGGATGGCTCACCTTTGGGTTGCTGAATCAGCTGCCCTTTCCTGAGCCTGTCACCATCCCTGTCTCCAGTCTCTACTTCTTTTTCTTTGCTCGAAAGGAGCCCCTGTTGTCCTAGAGCACTGGCTTGTCTATCTGCCTCTCCCTGAGCATTCTGCAGCAGTGTTTGCTCAGCTCTGAGCTCTGCTGGAGGGTGCCTGTGAATTATGTTTTCCTCTCAGCCTGCTGGCAGTTGCCCCCATCAGCTCACCTTACAGCAGCTGTTTGAAT